ATGTGGAAAGCCGGACTGATATGTATTTTGTTGCCCCTGGCGACGTACAATAACCCGCAGAATTATTTCAGGAATTGTGATAACTGGGCATTCAAAATCATCCCCAGTGTTTGAGGCGAGACGTTAGAAATGCAATTGCTCTGCGAGAGGAAGTTATATTCTTTATAAAAAGGGCGGAAATAGGTTGTCATTAGAAACTGAGTAACTATTACACCGCCCTCGTTTTCGACGGAGAAACGAAAATCGAATATATTAGATTATCTATAGTTTGTACGTATTTCCATTATTAGCTTCAGATAGAAAGTAGCGTACTGAAATGAAAAGTTTATAAGTCAACTTGCCAAGGACAAGGAAGCTAGTTATATTAAATCCATATTAACTTTCTATTGGCCATGAATAATTGTTTTTAAACAATTTCATACAGGAATGATTATAAAACAAGGAGAGGCTAGTATATGTCCAATTACCGTTCCTTTTCAGTCTGTGACATCAATGAAAACGAATGAAAGATTAATGGCTGTAAATGAAATACTGCATTTGTGTACTTTCCCTTTCCTTCATGACAAGAGTTAAACAAACCAGGAAGAACGGTAATGATGTTCCGACATCGTCGATTCTTCACAGTTTTTCCTGACGGCCTACTGGCATATTGAAATGAGATGTGTAAGAATACAACTTAGTAATGCAATTAATGATTTAACAATGTTACAAGAATATTAAATTGTCAAATATTAAAACAAATCATTTTAACGAAGTATTTCAGAAAATTATTTAAAGGGAAAACGTACCGACCATGGATTTTGTTTAAAACTTCAAATAAAATCATGTTTAACTCATTTCATTCATCTTCATTTCCCATTCATTTGTTTTATTTCGTGAATTGTTCAAAAAGTTATTGAGTTTTATTCTTGCACGAGCTACTAAAATGCAAATACACATTCTATATTGCACTTATAGTAAGAAAGGTGGAACAAGTCTCAGAGTTTTATAAAGAATTAGAAGCACAAACCAGTGAATCTATGCTATATATACTCGAAATATATTCGCATGAAGATGTGGCATCAATGGTGTAGACAACCAGACACCTACCAGCAACATTACCTTACTCATGGTTTGCTTTTTCTGCGTGACGTATTTGCCTCACAAACGGCCTCCATGTAGAGAATGTTGTACGTGGTTGGAATAGAAATTGGTTGTAGAAGACCTCGAAGAACAATGTCATAACCACAATTTACTCATTAGTATTCTGTTGACCGAAGTATATTTGCATTATTATGTACTGATTCTCAAGTGCTAAAACGTGTTCGTTCTTATAAACATTCATTGTTTCTTACTCGAATCTAACATTTTAAATTGTCTCACTCATCGGAAAGAAGTTCATCAAAACTATTTCGCTCAACTCAGTCCCCTGGCTTAGTGATGCGACCGAAGGCGGACGAGTGTCTTCCGCGGACGGGTCGTGGCCAGGTTGTCAGACGACATTATTTTGATTCAACATTCTCTCCCTGCAGAAGAATATCATTTACGAACGCCTCTGACAAGTATAGTTTGGGAGAGACGTCAAAGGTAGTAATGTAAAATGCTGGTGACTGTAGAATTTCATTAATTAACAAGCATCACACCGTAGATTAAAAGAGGAAATTATATTACAGCTTATCATTATTTCAATAAGATAGTATAATGCAAAGGAAACAAAATACAATAAACATAGGAAATTATCAATAAGAAAAATAATCAGTCATATTGACAGAAGTATTACTGAGTTACCTTAATCTTATCGCAAAATACCAATTAATTGTTCTACAATCTACAACTACATGGTCAGTTAAGCGGATTGAATCAAAGATTGTCTTTCGATGGAATCTGACTGCAATACATTTTACTATTAAGTTGTCCAGGTTGAGAAGCTCCTGCAAATATTCATATGTTGACAAATGGCATCATTCAACCGTTTATCTCTCATGCTGTTTCATATGTACTATACTTCAGTCTTTAAAGAGAGGTAAGACACCGCATATATTGCACCTGCCATCATAACTTTGCTCCGAAATATACATGTGGATATCAATAGCCTAGTTAGTACATTACGCTGGTCGTTCACTTTAATAGAAGAAAGTGAGGTTATAATGAAAGTTCTGGATGCACTTGAAAGTAAGGGGATGGAGACGTGACCTCCGCCTGCGACGCCTACGATGTCATTCAACTCCTACGACGTGGTTCCTCTTTCGAAGTGCGAAACCTACTTTGGCATAAGCGTGTATATTTTTCAAGGACATATTCCTGCCATATTTGCGTTTATTCTGTACAAGTTTTGTACGTTGGTCGTTTCGCTTTTTCAAATTACGGCACACCGGGGATACAACACGATCTCAGTGGCGTGTTTTGTGGGTTGCATAACTGCCGGCCACTAGCCTCTCAGAATATAAAATGCAAGTTGTGCATTGAGTATATTGACTTGTCAGGCGTCACAGCCCCATTCCTGTTGATATATCCTGAAGTTAGCATTTAATATACCACTTTTATAATTTCAAAATCATGATACGCATGAATGGGTGCCTGGCGCAGTCTAATTAATTCTCACATTATTATATTACGAGCGATGTTCAGTTTCTCAAAGACTTTCTCCAACATTTTGGAAAATGGAAGCAATTTTGTAAATTAAAGCTTCAGTATATATGGAATCTGTGCAATGTTCAGCTTCCCATACTTGACACTTACACAGAAGCTTGTAAAGCAAAATATCTAGTGTTGTGGTTACGATTTTGGTTTGACGCCTTTAGTCCATCCATGTCTAATCTTCACCTGTGGCTATTAAACCTCTTAAGGTCTCTCGAGGGTCTTGAGAATCTACATTCAGAGTTTGTGGTTGTATCTAACGCTCTTACCAGGGGCTAGAGGATATTCGACACTGGCTAGATTGCTAAATTGACTTCCAGCGCTGTCTGGAGGGAAGTTGTAGCAGACGGCTGCTCTAATCGGTAGTTTTCTGTGGATTCTCCCATCAACACCAGGCTAATGCCGGAGCAGTATTCTAAAAAAGGGCCACGCACTGCGCGCGATATTTCCTTCCTCTTCCTTGTTCTTTCCTCACTCCTTACAGATACACAGTAACCTACACGCATTACACTTCCAGAAATACCGTGAAACCAGCCGGGAGCTGAGAGATCGCCCTGCTAGGATGGAGGGAGATACCTGGGTGGAGAAAGTCACCGTAGGCCGACTTAGATCTCCCTATACAGACGGGGAATATCACTTATATCTCCCTCAATTAAAACAACATGTACTACACTTATTAGACTAATGACCTTAGCAGTTGACGCGCCCGGAATCGCTAATCAATCCACTCAATACATCGTTACAAATATCGCCGTTTGGAAACCATAGCTGGCGCTTGGCCGCTCACCTCCTGGTCTGCGGGGGCGTCGAGGAAGGGCGGCGCGGGGCCGCGGGACGCGGGCGCCTGCAGGTAGGGCCAGGGCTGCGCGGGCAGCTCGTCCTGCGCCGCCGCCGGCAGCTGCTGGAAGCGCGCGGGCTCCGCGGCGTCGCGGCTCGGCAGCAGCAGCACCAGCGCCGGGCACCAGGCGGCGCGGGGGGGCGGCGGCGGCGGCGGCCGGCGCGCGGCGGGGCGCCACGGCCCTCGCTCACCTGCCGCACGCAAACACAAGCCCTGTCGCTCCGCCTTCGGGTGTCCTCGCGCCCGTTCGCATCGAGCTAACTTGCCGGATCGCTCGTAGTTGAACCGCGATAGTCGCCCCAAGGAAGCATACCCACCTGACCTCGTGCAGAGCTCTCCATATTCTTTCTCCGCAAAGGATATGCATGCCGTATTATTTGAATATTTACATACTTTTAATAGCGTAATATTTAAATGGTATGACACACCCGTCAGCCAATCTAATCTGTATGAATGTGACCTTTTATATCACGTTCCCAGGTAAAGTTTTTAACACCCATATTAAGAGATTTTGAGACTTAACTGACAGTTTATGGAGCAACCCTCTGTTAAAACCCCTGCCCATCCAGTCGTAATTTTCCTGATTGCCTGGAATCGCATCCGACAGCGTTTTTGTCCGTCTTTCGTCTTCCTTGACCCAGTAATATGACAAGCCTGTACAATGCAAAATGTTAAGTTAATCTCTGATATAATTATTACCCCAAATTGTTGTCGCTACTTGTTACATAATAAATCAACCATTCCAATAACAGTTGATTAATATATTGTTACAAATTACAGAGCCTTGACCCTTTTGAACTTTAACTCAATACTGTCACACACAAGTTAGTAGTCTGAAAGATGCGAATAAACAATTTTAAAAATGACAATTTTTAAAACATAATTTTACTTTCCATTTTTAAATTTTTTTTGTTATTTACAGACGCGTAAACACGTGTTTAGTCTTTAGCAACCAATTTTATCAACGCTTAAGCTGCGCAACCACAGAAAGCCCGTTAGAATGCTCGAAAGGTTCGATTTAAAAATATTTTATAGAACTCTCGAGTTTACATTTTACCAGGAAAACCTTTGGATAATATTCCCCTTTAGTCCAACTTGTCTTCTTGTCCGTTTAGTTTTATTTCGTCTATTTGTCCTCTCATGGTTCCATTCTATCCCATGTGTCCATTCTATCCCATGCTGTCCATTCTTATTCCCATCTGTCCATTCTATCCCATCTGTCCATTCTATCTCATCTGTCCATTCTATCCCATCTGGTCCATTCCTATCCCAAATCTGTCCATTCTATCCCATTCTGTTCCATTCTATCCCATCTGGTCCCATTCTATCCCATCGTGTCCATTCTATCCCATCTGTCCATTCTATCCCATCTGTCCATTCTATCCCATCTTTCCATTCTATCCCATCTGTCCATTCTATCCCATCTGGTCCATTCTTAGCCCATCTTCCATTCATATCCCATCTGTCCATTCTATCCCACCTGCCATTCTATCCCCACCTGTCCATTCTACCCCTTTGTCCATTCTACGCTTCACACTCGTCCATTGTGGCGAGGCGGGCGGAGGCTCACCTTGTTGGCGAGCTTGCTGGGGCCGAGCGGGCGCGGGCCGGCGGGCGCCTGCGCCAGGGTCGGCGCCTCGGCGAAGTACACGATGGCCGGCAGCGGCGCGGGCGGCCGCTCGTACTCGAACTCGCCCTCCGCCGGCTCCGCCAGCGCCGGGAAGTAGTCCTCGCCCGCGGCCGCGTCGCGCGCCAGCGCTGCAACACCACAGCCGCCGGTGCTAGACTGCGCCGCCACCGCCCACGCGCCTCACGCTCCCGTGCAGCACCGCAGGGAATTAAATGTTACTCCCCACAAGAAGTCTTCCAATACCATAACAGGACAAGTTTTCTTTACAACTAAGAATATCAGAATAGAAAAATGTTTATTGGATTATTTTTATCAGCTTCTTCCTTGGAGCCTTGCTGCAGCGTAACGTCAGATGTCACGTCAACAGTAAAGCACTCATTATATGAATTCAGTCGGTTCACCCAGTCTAGGAATAGACGGAATAACACTCTAAAATGTTTTCATTTTTCAGTAAAAATCGGAACTGTTTCATTATATTAGAATTTTCCCGAGTTTCAAAGTATTTAACGATACCTTATCAAAAGACAGGACGCTTCATATTTTTCTTTCAATTTCAGCATACAGTTGGAAATTAGTATTACAGATTTTATTGATTAATTAATTACGGGTTGGAGAGCCTCAATTATTAAGGTCATCCAGTTCCATGAATAGCAATCTAATGACGATGGAGAAATAGTGAAATGAAAGGCAGAAATAACGGGAGAACATTGAGAAGGCTGCCGAGAGATCGCATCTTCCGCAAATGCCACATGGATCATGGAAGAAACGACCCCGTGCTCTGGAGGTGGAAGGCATATGCGCTACACACTCAGTCACACCCTTATACAACATAACACAACAGCGTGACGCTAGTGTTACGCAGAAATAATGAGAATCAAATTAGGAACAAAACGTATGAACTATGTATAAACTATGTAATGTTTTCTGGTATGTCTATTATATTTATTTATTTTCATCAAAGAACAGAAAAAAAACTCTCTAAAATCTGCGTACGTTTCCTTGGGCTTTTGAAACCCTTCCCCACCCTTTGACTAAAAATTGTGCAAGATAAATGAAAGTGACAACACAGCGAGGTTACCTCTGTTGAAACTAGACATTTCAGATCCCAAGCTACAGAATACTTCATTTTAGAGAACTTAATTGTCTCTGATTTCGCATTTTATTGGCGTTCGTTTAGAGATTTTGAAATACATTGAAATTGATTGCAGAGATTAATTGCATAAAATGCATAAATTAATTTCATTTTGAACTGTAGATCATCAAAATATGTTGGATGGCCGTAAAAAGAAGAGCGCAGTGTTTATCTTGCAACCCAGATGGCGTAGAGAGGCATGTGCTAACGAATGTGTGGAAACGCGGAGCAGAGAGCGTCACCATATGTCACGACCTGAATGCGTCTGCATCTATCTTTTCCTAAGGAGCGAGATATGTTCATACACCGTTGCCTACTAATAAGCATTAAATCACCTTGGCAAGTTATTTTCTTTAAGCCTACGGAACGTGTTCATATCAGAGTTAATTTATTCATAGATGTAGATATTAAATAAACCTCTGCGACCTTCTTAGCTGTCAAACAAAAGCATTTAACAGAAATAATGCGGAATGTGATATTTCTGTGTGCATATATTACAAGAGATGCACATCTTCCTTCCCGTAAAAACGTACCTCGCGAGCAAAGCAGAAAGCGCATAAGACGCCACTGAACCTCACCATTCAGAATGAGACACCGCTGTAGCGCATTGAAGGGAGACGTTCGGTGCGCAGTAGCCGATGAAGTAAGAGGAAACCTATGACGTTATCAGCGCCAACTCACAAAGGCAAGATTCGACACCTTCCCTTCCATTGTCGCCATTTAAAAGGCGTGCGGTGTCGCTTGAATTCTTTGATCCGAGATGAATACTACACTCTGCATAATCCAGTAGGTATAAAGCAAGAGTTTTCAGTCGCTGTGTTGTGTCAAAACAATAGCGTCGTGAGAAAATATGGAAACAAAATTGAAAGGGGTATAATATTAATTTTTTGAACTACATGGGGAAATATTGACTTATTTTACATGTAGGTATTTATTGATGCAAAATGTTAATATTCACGAGTATTATTTTTAAATTCTTAACGGAATGTCAATAAACCGGATATATTCAAAATATACGAAGTGTACTAAATCCTGTCAAGCGCAGACTTCGAATCTCTAAACCGGAAATAAAGAGCAAGAATGCAAGGTATTCGGAGCATTCCTTTTCATTACTGAAGAAACCTTCCGCAGCAGGGCGGCTGTTACTGAAAGTTGCCAGTCGGTTTTATTAACTAACCGGAAGGTCTGCTCTCAGGAAGAGTGTTGAATCATGTCTTGCTAGTCAAGAACTACTTCTAGATCCACGCAGACAGTACTTCAACAAGAAACTGACACTTCCGGGATTAGAACACGACCGGAATATGCAATTGGAAGCAACAATTCCGAATTGGGGATACTTTTCAACGAAGTATTTCTGAATAGATCGACTTACATCCCACGAATCTACTACAAACTTTTTTCACTGAATACGCTCTACTTGCTGCTCATACTACTCAAAATTCTAAATCGAAAAATAAAACAAATATTTCACAGCCAGGCTAGCCATGTTGATCTTAACCCATACATACCTATTGTTCCCAAAAATGGGGCAGTCAACTTTCACGGGATTTTTGTTATCTCAATTACTTCTATTGCAAATTTTATTTCTTCAACATACGAACATTATAATTGAAACACATAAGAAGTGTTGGCATTAGTGAATGCTAGATGTCAATTTTAACCGAGATCGCTAAAGTACTGTGCGCTGCTGGCCAGGGTGTATTCATGACTTGCATCGGCTCGAATCTTCTCCTAAAACCGCGCTTAGCCGCTACATTATTATTGATGCTAATGCTATTATCACAGAGGATGGAATTCTTATTATTAGGTGAATGCGCGACTTCGAAACCATTTCAGAGCATTGTATACAACCAACGGAGATATTTCTTCATCCATAATCATTATTTTCACTTGTTTAACAGATATGGAGCAACAAATGCACATTTAATGCACCTCAATTCAATTACATTTTTGTGCCTTTGTGCTGTAAATGATATATTAGAATAGAAATGATGATTAATTAGTATTTTAAGTTCATAAAAACAACACGAATCTAATTTGAAATTCGGAAAACTGTCGATGTCTGAAGACATTAGGATAGAGCAGTAACAAAGAGAGAGAGAGAGAGAGAGAGAGAGAGAGAGAGAGAGAGAGACACACACACAGACAGACACACAGACAGACACACAGACAGACACACAGACAGACACACAGACAGACACAC